TTTTTCACATCAATAGATGTAGGTACACTTTTTGAGTAAAAATTATAAGATAGTTATGTTAAATTTTTTTTTTTAATTGATAGCTTTTATAATGCTCTTTTCAACAATAACGTCATTTTTACATATTTCAATAGCTTTATGTTCGTCAAATTTAATTAAAGCTTATTGATATTGTTAAAGAATTTACTAGTCATAAAATAGAAAAATTCAAAAAAATAGCTCTATTACATTAAACTATACGAAGTGCTCTATCTTTTACAAAAAACTAAATTAGTAATTATTATACCAGTTCGAGAGAAAACTGTACCGAAATTTACTAGTATCTGCAGTAATCCGCAATAATATCGGATTTTCATAAAAAAAATTTATCATATGCGAACCTAACTATGGTTTGATTTACCGATTTGATGAACACCCTAATGCTACATAGTGCCCATCTCTAAGCACCCCCGGTGAACTTCACCTCTGGTGAGCGTTAAAATATTCTATTTTTAACTAATCATTATCAAAATTTATTGGTCGAAAAAAAAATAATAATAATAAGAAAATTGATTATCAAGTTTTAATACTAAAGTATTCTTATATTTATTTTTAATAAACTAGTCATTTTCTTCGACTTAACTATAATCTAATACAATTATTAAATTGCCTATATTATTTTGCAAATGATTTTTTTAGATATAGGCTAGGATTTAAGATTAGTTAATAAGAATACAGGCGAAATTCAGTAAGTTTAATAAACTTAAATAGAGATCTCAAATTTTAGCATCAACAATGAAAAACAATAATCGTTTTTCCTATAAAAAATATATTTTTTTGAAATTCACGTACGTATGTACAATCTATTAAATTGATTATGCAAGGAGCAATGTGTGACAGTGAGATGTACGTACATACGTACATACTAATACATACGCATATGTAAATATCGGAGATATGTGACCGCTTTATTGACTAAAATCAACTCGTACCTCTTAAAATCATTAATATAAAAGATTTAAAATTGATTCATCGTTTATCGACTATAGCGTATTAAAGATTTTCTCTTTTTTTAATTAAAGAAAATGGGATTTTGGGTTGTCTTAACAATCATTTTTATCCTATTTATAATATATAAGTTCTATCTAACCAACAATATTCCAAGTGGTCTTAAGAATGTTCACACACTTACAACCTTCGAACAACTAAGATCTGCCGTTACAAATGATACAGGATCTGACAAGCTGTATTTAAATAAAAAAGAATATTTTGATAATGATGGTATTGTAAAAGTAAGTGTTTATTTTTATTTTTATTTGTAGATTAAAAAAAAAGTTGCAGTACAGTAATTAAATAATAAATGGTTTGTCATTTATAAAGTTTCAAATTAGAGGAAAGTGGATGGCTGTGATATCTGATCCAGTCCTTGCAAAAGACATCTTCTTACGAATTGGTATGTTATCTATTTAATCTACTTACTAATTTTATTAATCAATATTCCAGTTTTTTAATATATTGAATTTTAAACTGGTTCATAGAGGCCTTTCCCAAGCTTTTAGTTCAAGAATATTTACCGGATACTGCACTTTCACATCATTATGGTATTAATATTGTTCATTCTAACGGTGATGTAAGCGTAATTAAATTTTTATGTTATCAGTTTATAATTTATTTCTCATTAATTTGAGCGTTTTTTTTTTTCAGGTTTGGAAACGACAGAGGTATTTTACTTATATAAATATGTATATTAAAATTCTAAAATATTTCACGTTCATGAATTTATTAATTACTTTATTTAGGCGTATATGTAATCTCGCATTTAAGGTCTTACCAGTACATTTATTCGTTGAAGGGGGTTTTAAATTGATGAATGTCTTAGAAACAACTGATAATAAGCCTATTGAAGTTGTGAATCTTATGCATAGGTAATAAAATAAATATTAAAACCATTCCGTTTATATACATATATTTAATATTTTAAATTTTTTAGATTCACTTTAGATGTACTTGGAAAAGTCGTCTTTGATTTTGACTTTAATGTATGTATAAACAAATTCTTCTGTTCATATTTAAATTTATAAATTAAATTTATTTTAATTAACGTTTAAAATTTTAAATTAGAATCTTGAAGATCCAAATAATATTTATGTAACAACATATAATGAAGTTCAGGACTTACTCAAAGACCCTTTGTTTAATCTTCTCCCATTAGATCGCATTCCTTACTTTAAAAATAAACGTCTTAGAAAGGTTGAGAAATTAGAAAAATTATTTGATGACTTTATTGAAAAGAAACATAAATCTATAGCTGCTGGAAAAGTCAATGGTGACCTTTTAGAACTTATGATAAAAGCTTGCAATGATGATCCAGATAATCAAGGATTAAATGATATTGAATTAAGAGTATGTTAAAATTCTTATTGTTGTAAATCGCGTATAATAAATATGACATAATAATGTACAGATCTTAAGTGACATAATGTTTTTTGATTTTTATAGCACAATTTGGCAATTTTTATGGTTGCCGGTCATGATACAAGTAGGTGACAGTACATTGACTTTTGGATGTATGATTTTGAATGTATGATTCACTTTATAATTAATTTTTATAATTTATAATTTATTATAAATTCAGCTGCAAATTCCTTAGCAACTATTTTATATCTTTTGTCAATTCATAAAGTATGAAATTTTTTCATTGATATTTAAAAATCTTAATATATTTTTTTTTGAATAACCCTAGGCCTTTTATTAAATATTCTTGAACTTTTTATTTATCTAGGATGTTCAACAAAAAGCTCGAGAGGAGATTTTGAGTGTGCTTGGCAGTGATTTAACTCCGTCAGCAGAGCAACATAAAGCATTAAAGTACTTAAATATGATTATTTATGAAAATCTTAGAATATACCCTCCTGTTAGTATAAATTTTTTTTATAAGTAATTATAATATTATATGGCGCATAACGTTTATAATTATTTAATAAATTAGGTCCCGTTTTTACCATTTCGTAAATTGGAAGAAGATCTAAAATATAAAAATCATGTAATTCCAGCAGGTACAGGTATTGGACTCTTTGTATATGCAATACAAAATTCACCAAAATTTTGGGAAAATCCCGAAGAATTTATACCCGAAAGATTTGAAAATGAAAAGGATATAAATGGAAGTTATACTTGGTTACCCTTTGGTGCTGGATCAAGAATGTTGGTTATTTTTTATTGTAATTTAAATTTATGAAATAGTAAATATTTGTGACGCAAATTTAATTAAAATAATCTTTAAACAAATAATAGGTGTTTGGGAAATAACTTTTCTCTTATTGAGCAAAGAATTGCGTTATGTTTGATTCGTAAGTATTTTAATTAGCATTCTAACAAAATGTTATATATATATATGCAGTATAATGTATTCTGACATATATGATATTTTTATAGTACGTAAATATGAAATATCATTGCCATCAGATAGTATACACAGAAATCGATTGCAGGTTAAAGATTTTGGAACACCACGACCAATCAATCTAATATTTAAAAGAAGAATCGAATAATTGATTAGATTCATAGCTAAATCATATTTTATTGAATTACATATACTTTTTTAAATTTTCTTTTTATTTTATTTTTTTTTTTTATAGTGCTTAAATGTTTTATTTGTTAAATAAAAATAGCAATGTATTGTGAGTTGACCTTTATGTACAGTATTGAGTGCTCAAATTTGGATTTAAAATAACATGATTTTAACATATACTGTATACGTTAATAATTCATTTTTTTAAACACATTTATATTTAATGAGCATTTAAATTTAATCCGAAAACTAGACTGTCATGATGTACGTTTTAATCGTTTAAACAAATTAGTAATTACGCCAATATTATTTAGATATTTGAACAAATCTCTTTTTATCTCGATAATTTTAGATATCGTTAGTGCCTTCCTTTTTCTTTTAGTATTTGTTCCGAATTGACAAAAAGTCAACAGATTGAAATGCAACGTAAGTAGCGATAAGATTGCGCAGCAACCGAGTTTCGAAGCCTGTTTGCAACAATGCTAACAAAGAATTATTTTGAGGTCATTGTGTCGCCTGCTTCAGAATTCAAGGCAAATTAGGTAAGCATGATTGGATAAAAGAGGCAGAACTGAGAACAGAAGCTCTACCTGCGTCTTGAGAACTTCATAGTTTTCACACCCTGCCATTTTCGCAATAAAATGCGGCTTGCTTTATGCGGGTGAAACCGGCTGATGTTAAATGTCGCTAATTCTACTATTAAAAAATCCTGATTAATAGCCGGCCCGTTTTATGAAGGTGGGAAACCACCAGCTGATGCTATGCATCGTAGATTTTGGGACATCTGGTAAAAAAAATTGACCGAATGATTTGATAAGTTTATAATTTGACATTTTCAAAGTATATTCGTTATTACTTCAGATAAATTGTATGCTATATAAATTTTTTGCTATTACTTCAGATAAACTGGATATATTTCAGATTCAACTGTAGTTACTTCAGACGAGTTAGAAATTTTTAAAATGTTTACTCTAGATTTACTATAGACGAACAAGCTAAAGGCTCCTTAGTTATTAGATCAACCGTTTAAATAATTTATCTGATTCGTTCTACATATTGGCTATTTGGAATTTCCTAGTATAGTAAATAAATTTGTTCTGACTTCTTTTTTAAAAAAAGTCTGCTTATGTAATATATTTATTATGATTATTCGGAACCTTTTTTAAATTTTGTATTACAAGAACAATTATCAGCATAAATTTTCGTATAAGCAAAACACACCAAACATACATACTGGATATGCATTCAAGCGAAAATTTTTAATTTTAAATATGTTGACATTGTAGTTCAGAGAACTATCACTCGTTAATTCTTACTTTCCCGAAATACTATTTCCCCGATTCCATAATACTGAAATCCCTTTTTTCTGACAATACATATTTCTGACAGTACTAAAAAAATTTTTGCCGAATTTTTTTTCCCAACACAGCCAATTCCCTGATAGCCTGAACTTCTGAAAAAATTTATTCGACAGATTTTTTCACTGACAAAACCCTTTCTTCGAACTCCTGTTTCTCTGACAAGAACTTTTTTCAAAACCTTTTCACTAACAAATATTATATGATATATTTCCCTGAAAGGATGTTTCTCTGAAAAGAACTTCTCTAAAAGCTGTTTCCCCAAAAGATATTCTCAACAAGGTTTTTCTCTATTGAACAAATTTGTATAATTATTTATGCAATTTTTCCTTAATGCTATTTGACAATAACTTTTTTGGTTAACTTAAAGACAATATAAGAATCACTATATACCTTTTTTGGATGGGTTTACTACAAAATCCAAAAAGACATATTTCCAAAAGGACCTAATACTAACAAAGTTAGCCAGCATTGGTTATAACATTGGCAAATTTAGCTGGTATTATGTTCTTTCAAAAAAATAGTTTTTAAAATTTTTGTGGTAAAACTTACAAAATCTCAAAAAACTGATTTCTTATAGTATTTAATACCTACAAAGTTAGCTGGCATTAGTTATAATGCTGGCCAATTTAGTTAGTAGGTATTATGTTCTTTCAAAAAAGTGGCTTTCAGATTTTGTAGCAGAATAATTTTGGTTTATCAAGTAACCCAGAATTAATAAGAATAGCTGTAAATTCAGTAAAACATCCTTTGGTAAAGAAGCTTTTATTAAGATATTTTCAAAGAAATAGAATGCCAAAAAAAAATACCATTTGGCAAAATAGCATATCAGTAAAATAGGCATTCATTTTTTTAATATTCAGTAAAATGAAAATTACAGATAAATAACTTATCAGTAAAATTTATTTTCAGTTAAATTAACTTTCAATAAAATAAGATTTTTGAAATTATGTCTTGTTAGTAAAATGGGATATCAGTATAATAACTTTAGTAAAATAATATTTTAGTAAAATTGATTTCAAAAAGTTAACCTATAACCACTATCACTATATTGAAATATATATATATTCTATTATGCCCAATTTGCTGCTAAATCAAACTTGTCAAACAGTCAAATATTATTTGGTCAATTTTTTACAAGAACTCTCAAAATTTATAAAAATAGCTTTAATTATATGTATATTGATAGCACTGAAGTATGTGGCTTATATTAATAGTGCATTTCTAATAAAATTTTAATTTTTTTTCTAAATTAAAGTGACCTCTTAGTTAGTAATTTATTATTAGAATTTAAGATATATTATAATTGTAATAAATACAAATAACCACTGTGCTTTTGACACCATCTATACTAGATGCCTGTACTTGTAACTCATACTAGGATTATCTATTTAAACTTTCTGGTCACAATTTTTATTTTAACTTGGGTATAATTTTACCATAAATTTATGTGATACTTTATACATATTAGTGATAAAATTTTAATATATAGTATAAACATTCATAATCAAAATACTAAATTTTTTTTTTTTTTCGGTATTAAGGTGACCTCTTTGGCCGGAGAACATTTTATTAAATAGTTATGTTTTTCAATTACAGTAAGGGTACATATAGCCACATGTGCACCTTTTGAGTGCCTAATTTAAGTAGTCCGCCCGAAGG